AAATATTGTTTGTTTTGTTCTGAATGAGGGGGGGGTGGGGGGGGGGGGGGAAAGAGGTGAAGATGTTATGAAGCTGAATTACTTGAGTAATTTTAAGCCTAGATGAAATTTTAACTGATAGATATAATTTAGATTCTTTTGAAGGGAACTACTTTGACCAGTAAATAGGTGTAACATCTGTAATATATTACAGGTGCCTGTGTCATGAATTGCATAAGATAGTAGAATTGAAAACAGAACGGATATATATTTTGGAACTCTGCAAATGGCAGTTTGTTTTTCCGTAGTTGTAGTTATGGTGTGACAAAAGGAGGTTTGAGGTGAGAACACTGCAAAGAAACCTGTTAGTGTTTTGCTGCATTATATCAGAACTGTATTGCAGGTATATGTTTTCTGGGTCAAATGAACCTTGAATAGACATGCTGAGTTTTTTTGTTACAGTAAGCATCTGTTTGCATTATACAGCAATGGGGGCACTGAGTGAAGAGTCAACTATTACCGTTTCATCCCTCAGTGCAGAATTATGGAGTAACTGGACAAAAAACAACACTGAAGGTATTTTTTTTTGTTTCTCTCTATTGTCTCTGAAAAAAATAGTTTTTCTTATTTTGATGATAACTACCATAATGCTTCTGCTATGTAGACAATGTTGAGCTGTGAAGTATGTTGTATTTGTGAGATGAGCCTCCTTTTTTTTTTTTTTTTTTTTTTCCCCCCCCCCCATGGAGCCTTGAAAATCTCTCTGAGGTAATTGTTGTCACAAAGCTGGAGTAGGCTCAGCACTTAGCAGCTGAAGAGCTGCTTCTCCAAACCCAGTCATAACTGGAAAAAGATATTTTAGGGCTACTTGGGGTAGATTCTCTGCACTTCTGATGGTCGTTCCTGTTAATTTTAACTATTGCTGGGTTTCTGACTATTAGCTCTCTTTAGTCTGAATCTTTCTGCACTCAACAGGGACTGTGGCAAACACGACTTGAAATAACATCTCTCATAACTGTTACTCAGTAGTTTCTTGCTTTGTTACAGTTTTGTTTTCTTCGGTTATCCCAGCTTCCACAGCCCTTCTCAGCATGCTAGCTCTCTTTTCTTTCTTTTTCTTTTCTGACTGAAATGTGAACTCAAGCTATTTACCTGCCAAGATCTGAGACTAGAGCACTGTGTTTATCCTGCAGACTGCATTCTTGATGTTACTTCAGGTGCTAGTGATGTCATTACTTTCTGGAGAACAGTGTAATCTGGAACTGAGGTTTTGGCAGGTCAGTAAAGGAGGAAAGGATTTTAACCATGATACTTATTAACGTCTTTGTACTTTTGAAAGAATATAAACATGCATACAAATAATCTTCTGTTAATTGTAAGTCATCTCCGGATGTCTTGCAAGCCTTTTTAGTAAATACATAAGCTTTCATTTTTCCTCATAATTCAAAGCAAGTCAAACTACTGGTCTTTTTCTCTCTGTAGTTTGTGGTACAGTGCTATGGATACATTCTCACACACACACGCACACAGTCAGAGATGATCATTTTTGAGCGCAGTAGTTTCCTTCATTAGCCCAAGACTTGTGGTCTGGCTTAGTGGATTTATCTGTGATGTGGTTCTTCCAGAGTTACAGAGCAAATAGCAGTATAACGAAGTGGAAATATATGTTGTGATTCCTTAATTAGCTCGTTGGTGTTTGTATTTATAAAGCAGGAGTTATGCATCTCATTTTAACAAATAAGAGTTTTATCTAAGTGAACACAACCAAGTCTGCAATTGTCCCATCTACGTTTATGCTAGCATTACTTGTGCATCTCAACTAGATGCCTGCACTTAGAGCTGAATATTCTCTCAGAGGTAGCAACACCAATTCAGACCCGCTCAAGCACACACTTCCAGTCTGTTAAAGGTATGTGTAGGCAGACCTTTTATACAGCCACTGAAACGACAGGAAGCAGCGTTTCCGGAAAGAAGATGTTAACAAATGATTAAAGGGTTACCAAAGGAAGTGGCTGTGTCCCTATAACCTGTTCTTGTAGCTGCTATTTCTGTACCAGTGGGTGTATAATAAGTTACAATTTGTAGTCCAAGTTCGGTAATACTGGATTCTAAGAAAACTGATTCCCAAGTAAGCATCACTGGAGGAACTAGCAGTTTCTTGTGTAATTGCGCGTCCCCTAGGGACTGAGATGCAGTTTATGGAAAACTAGTAATTTCTGGTCAGTGAACAGTAAAGCCATTTGCCTCCCATTTACTGGATCATCTTCCATTTCCTTACTTTATACGTTGTACAGACTTGACTTGTAGCCAGTGCTGAGGCAGGGTAACGTTAGGCTATGTGGTCAGCTGGGGGGAAAGGTTGTGGAAAGGATGCTTGGTGGGGGCTGACAAGTCATGGATCGAGAACTTGAGGCGTAGCTTTTGGTAAAGGGGAGGCATAGTCCCTGCTGAAGGGGGAGTGTTTACAGTGAAATGGTCAGGTAGGAGTTGGGAAGGCTGCGAAGGGCTTAGTTTTACTGCGGAAAGATGAGATCCATTCATTGCTACAAGTGGCTTACTCCATGTGGCCTGTAATGGAAGCCCTGAACTGGGGCTGACCCCTTCCCTCCCCTTTCTGGCTCTTCTGTTCCCGCCAGACACACCATACCTGAAGGCTTAGCTGTCATGGTCTTAATGGCTTACTCTTTTTTGTCGTTAGTCTGTCAGTTTTGGCGTGCCCAGGTTTCTAAGTGCTGTCGTTTTGATCTCATGTCAGCTCTTGTCAAGTCTATCTGTTTGAATGACTCAGTTGCAGGTGACTGTCAAGTGCTTACACAGCATGCTTTTTTTCTCCCCCTCACGCGACTTGAAAAGGCACATGGATGCATTTATTCAACAGCTTATTTATCACCTAGATGGGTAATGTGATATGAATCAGCATAATGTTCTGGAATGGGTTAGATTGAAAGTCTTTGTTTTTGAGACTCATCGTTCTTTTTAAGGCAATTATTTCTGCTTTCGCAATGTCAAAATATTTAGCACCTAAAATTCTTGTGTGTTCATTTCAGATGTGACCTTGCAACCCACACTGGACAAAGTCTCACTCCTGACAATGAAGGAGGAATGTGTTGTTCCGTTGTGGCCTGCATGGCAAGGTGTTTGTCTCGAATGCTTTCTAGGCAGGCTTCTTTTAGGCTGACCTTGGTTTCAAATGGCAGTATTGACTTTGATCGTTCTTAGGGGAAGAAGTATTGCATACTTATGCAAAGCAAGTTTTCCTCCAAAAGTAGGCAGGTGGAATGCTGCCACCTCTAGGCAGAAGTGAAGTAAACGAAAACTGAAGCAGAAGGGATATCCGTGCCTTTTGACATGTAAACTTGGATCTTCCTCACTTATTTTTTTCCATTGTGGCAGGTAAATAAGTGAAATATTCAACTCCGCAACAGAACTCTTCTCAGGGCCCAGTAGAAGAGTAGTACATTCAATAGAATGGCAGGAAATGAGCCATAAAAGGTTATGTTTAAGGCTTATGATTTGCTTTCGTGTAGTACAGCATTTGGCCTCCGTTGTGCTAAAATTGTGATGCTGATCCATTGGTGCATGAGTGTTTGAAGAGAGGCACAGGGAAGTATAAGTGTGCCATTTCCCATGTTCTGAAGTTGGTGTCTGCAGAGCTCTGTCTCCTGAGCTTGTCCGCAGTGTTTTGAGTCAGCCAGAAGAGTGCCAGAGCTTGATGCTAGAGCTCACGTGTACAGAGCTCTGACTCCCTTCCGTGCGGAGTATGTGATTCAAGGCTAAGGGTGCGTCTGCTCAATGCAGGGCTTCTTAGAGTAGAAATACTGCATTGGTTTCATCATCTGGGGGCAATCTAACTGTGGTAGCACAGAGCTCAGAGTTGGGAGATGCTGTACACAGTTCTGCGAGCCATTTGAGGCGTTTCCGTACGACATTGCAGTGTGTGATAGAGATAGGGCCCAAGTCTCAGCATATCCTTCAGTATATATGTATTGCCGCTTGATTACTAACCAAAACTGTGGTTGCATTATTAAACCAAAAGTGTGTGGCATTATGTTCCTAGGTTTAGGGCTGCCTTTTCCACAGTGTAAAGAGGAACTTGTAAAATTTTTTCTCAGCCCAAAGAAGTTCTTTAAATGAAGGCATATTTTTCTACCTCAGTAGCTTTTCCTGAGAAAGAGGAGTAAGCCCACATATTCTTTGCAGGAAGAAGACTTGAATTGTTTCTTGTTCCCTGTATGTCCCTTCACAAGCTGGGGGGTGTGATTTATCTCTTGGAGAGATTCTAGAGCACACTGTTTTCAAAGTAATGTTGTGTCATCTGAGTAATAGTGATAGCATCAAGCCTCTTATGTGTCCACATCGTTTGATTCACATCTGAATTTCTGAAGTGCCCTGAAATGCAGGCGTATGGATTTAGAGTAGAGTAGCTGTTTACCATCACTTGTCAACTCTAAGAAGCAGCTGGCATATAGGAGGAAAAACTCGCCTAGTTGAGCACATAGGGGAACTCCTGGCATGAAATGACTCAAACTGGAATTTGGTCAGGAAATTGGGGGATTGATACTGTTATTCCTGAGAAATGCGTAATGGAGTCTTGAGCTGACCATAGCAGCCAGGAACGGCCTGAGGCTTACATCTCTGACAATAGTTCCATCAGTGTAATATCTTTGAACCTTGATTCAGTGCTTACTCAGAAAGGAAGGTTTCTGCTCACTGCGCTATCGTTTAGTCAGCCTGAGCAGATGTTGTCACCTCCCTGCCTGATGTTATTTTTCCTGTGGTCATAACTGAAAGCTGATGTTGACATAAGCTCAGTTAAGAAATCTCCTCTAGACATCACTAAAATAGGCCCCTGAAACAGTAAGGCATTGCTTGGGCACTCCACCCCATCCAGTGATTTCTCTAACTGGGGAGAGAGACCAGTTCAAACATACTCCCTGTAACTATGAAGCTTTTTTTCCTCTTTGTTTGCCCCACCCCTGCTCCCATGACAAATTCATGCTGGCCTCTGCACTTCTTCTGCATCCCAGGATACATCACGCCTGGACTCAGGCTCTGCTCTATCAGTAGATAACACTGCTCTAAGATCCCAAAGAAGACTTTTAACCTTTATTTTACTCTCATTTGAGTTTCCGTGATTGGGAATAAGCTAGTCACTTCTGTGCTTTCAAAGCAATAGCATGCTTACTAACCTGAATGCATATGACTTTTATCTAGTTTTAGAAACTGAATAGTCAGGGACCTGCTTGCTTTTGGATGCAGAGACCATTTGGGGAATCTTGGTGCTTACAAGCAGAACCGAACACTCAGCTAATGTTAGACTGTGGAGACTAGGTAAAGAGAGCAATCCCATCATTCATAGCTTAGTTGTAGCTGCAGAGCTGAGGGACAGGAATATTAGAAATGCAGTAGTTTTTTGTCCTCCAGTGGGGAAAAGAAAAAAAGGAATTAATCCATTATTTGAATTCAGACTGGGAAACATACTGAGACTCAAGCAATGCTATCATTGCATCCTAAACCCCTGTTGTTCCTGGGGATTGATGTTCTGATGGATTGCAGGTTGGATAATGTTCATGTTATGCTGGGGTCAGTCTTCCAACATTTTTCTTACACATGCTTCTCAAGAGGAAGTAATTGACTGTGTCCAAGAAGCTCATTTTGCTGAGCAATGTCTGAACTGGCTTGCAAGATATATCACAGTAAATCTGTGTGTTAAGTGTCTTTCTGCAGTAAATGTTTGTCTCTCTTGGATTGTGAAAATATTTTTAAGTGATTTGACTTTTTCCAAATATAACATGGTATTTCTTTACCTCTCGCAGTAGACTATACAGAGCAACCGAGGCTCTTGAAGCTTATGCAAGCCTGTCTTGAGGAGCACCACAGCTATTGTATTAACGGGCTCTGTGCTTTTCACAGTGAACTGAGGAAACCCATATGCAAGTAAAGAACACTGTTTATAAATACACTTCTTGGAGAAGTAGAAACAGTAGTGTTGTTTCTTTGTCTGCTGCACGTTAATAATATAATGTGACTATTTTTTTTAGCAGAGCACAACTTGTTAAGTGTCAGTAAAGTACTTGCAGGCTTAAAGATTGGAACATGCTTGAGTGTTATGCTGGTTCAGGACTGCTAATGAGACAGTAGTGCCAGGCCAGTGTAATACCAAGGAAGGGAGACTGAAGATCCACAGCTTTCTAAATCAATGCTTTGAAAGCATCTTAAGTCTCACCTGGCCCTAGAGTTAAAGGATTAGATTTTCATAGGGTGCAGTGAAGTGGGCAGGAACTTGGAAGAAAGCAGCTGCAACTTCCTTATTCTGCAACTGCTTACAAACGAAGCCTGGGCCTTGCTATATGCTTAGAATTTTCTGGGTCCGTATTGGGCAGCTTTGGCCACGGCAGATGTTACAGCAGCAAAGCGCAGTGCTCTTTGTCCACACCCTCTCGGGTGAGGTTGTGTTTAGACTGCGTTTGCTGTTGTGACTGTAGTGCTTGAGCTAGCTTTAAACTAGATAGACTGGGATAACTAGTAGTCTTGGTGGCGTTGAGAGGTTCTGACTGAGCATGAGTTTCAGCCTATCCTACTTGAGACTCACTCTAAATTGCTTAAAACTGATCAAATGCAAAACATATTTCTAGAATATAAAGTAAAAGAAGTTCTGTATAATTTTACTTGATGTAAATTTATTTTATAGGTGCCTTGCAGGTTATAATGGAGAGAGGTGTGAACACTTAACACTAAATTCCTATGCACATAATTCTTACGAACGCTACATTGCTGTGGGAATTGGTATAGGAATTCTGACCAGTGGGATACTTGCTATCATCTACTGCTACGTGAGAAAGAGGTACGGAAGATAGGTAACCTTTTGATTACCTTCATCTGACCTATGGCGGGGAAGAAAGCTGTGCAGAATTTTATCAGGGAACTGGGAGTGTGTTCTGGCCTCTGTTGTTCATCTGTTGTGTGATCTGAAAGTAGCTGACGCTCAGTTTCTTTGTTTTCTTGTCAGCCAAATGGGTGAAATAATTGTGTGACTGCCCAAAACATGAATTTCATTGAGGCTGCTTAAATGAGCTAGGCAGATAAAATTGATTTCTGTTTAGACTACTGTGGTTTTAGATTTACCTGATTAAAATCACATCACGTTATCGTTTTAGATGCAGAAAATTGAAATCGCCTTACAAAGTCTGCATGGGTGAGACTGCATTGTGAAGACTTGGCATTGGGACACTTAACCAACTTGCCTGTAAACTACAGAAGGTTCTGACTTGGGAGGCCATCCCGCGCCCATCTAGCAGGTACCCCAGCTTCACTGATGAGGTGACATAAAGGGAATGGCACAGCAGGTGCATAAAGGAACTCCTGCAGAACTGATGGGCTCCACACACTTTTGAAGAAAGACTTTTTATCTTTAATAAAGGTTGCTATACGAGCAGCTCAAAACAGCTGAGGATACTTCTGGCCTTTTCAACGCTCTGCTGTGGCTCATGTTTGCTGAGGGAAGGACTTGTTCGTTTTAGCTATTCAGTCATTTCAAGCCCTAGTAGAGTGTTCTGGCCTGGTCTTCCCCCCACCACCCCTTCCTTTACTTTTCCTCTGGTGGAAAAGCGCAACCTGTTTCACAATGGAATTGCTTCCTGAACGTGACACGCTGTCAAGAAGCCACCTGGGTTCTTCTTTCACAACATCTGCTGCGTATGTGCCTGGATGAACACATGAATTGCCTCTTTCAATACTGTTGATATCGCCAATGGGCTAAGCGGAGCGTAGGCTTTCATTGCCATGTGGACAAAATGGTAAAACACTTTGGACTGGGGAAAACGTATGGTCCTCAGAGACTTGCTTAAAAGTAAGAATAAAATTTAAACAGTTCCTGGGAAATCAGATCATGAGGTCTGAGGGCATTGCAAGTTCTTTCAATTTTGACAAGCAAAGAAATTGGACATCTTTTTCCAAATGGATATTGAGTGTGCTCACTGACCAAGAACTTGACTCTTCCTTTACATCACATAGCGGCTCATCAGAGTCCCAAAACCTTCAGGCAAAACATTGCCTTCCTGGACCATGATTTCAGACTAAGACTCCAGTTGTGAGGGAAGCTGGAGTTTTGCTAGGAAACTCCAATATAGCTCTATCCAGGAAGCAAACTTACTTTGCTCTGTTCTCATGGTATATGCACAGTATCACCACTGAAATAAGAAAGAAATGACCATAGGGATTTTGTTCTACCATGGCCCAGATTACTTATTAGAGATTATATACATACAGATATATATATATATATATAAAATCCTCCCAATCAGTCTTGTAGGATTCAAGGAAGAGATGACATACACAACTTTGCTGCACCGTAAAATTATACATATATATATATATATATATATACACTGCACATTATAGACTCATCTGCTTTACTTAGTCATCCACAAGAAAGAGGCAGTTAGGTACCTCAGAAACCCTTGCAATTTGTATGGGTTAATGTAGGCTCCTGAGTTTAGGTGCCTTGCTGGAAAAATGAGTTTGTTTATGTGAGTTCACTTTTAAAAAAGGATGCGTGTCATTTGTTTAAAATTTAATCTGTGTATTCAAGAGCCTTCAATGGTAGTGGTGAAATATGTTTGAATGACTGGGGCTTTGAAAGGGGAAACATGCATTTACCGTTTCAGTGGTCTGATATACTTGGCTTCTCACACAGGGGGATCCTGGTCAGTAGCTGAGTTGTCTCAGCTCTAGATTGGTAGCAGTAAATAATAGCATATCACACATGGGTTGGACTCCCTGTGCAATAAACAAGAGCCAGCAGCAAGAACATAAACTGACAGGATTGTTGGTGCAGAGCTGAATGGAGAGACACGCCAGTCCTTTCCTCTGTGCATTGACATGAGTGTTTTGCAAGATGTATTGAATTGATTTCCCAACTCTCAGCCTATTCATTTTTTTCCATCTCAAGATAAATATTCAGATCTGTCTTGTTTGTTCGTTTCCATTCTCCTGACCTTTTTCTTGGTACTACTGAAAGGCAATTTCTGCTCTCCCTGTTTCTGCCTCAGCTTTCAGTAGCTGCCTTAATGTATTCTGTTTTATATATGATAATGTGAGAGTATGATTAGACCCTAAGGAAAATGCTCATGCACTCTCACGCATGACAGAGACTGCACTGAAATACCTATTAGAAATGTGCATGTAATCAGGAGAACGCAGGTGAGAGATTTTTCTCATCTGTCTCTCATTGCTAGATAGACCAAAGCAGGAAAAGCCACAAAACTTCTGAAATGTGGGCGGATCTCCTTATCCGGAGAGAGTTGTCTCTTTCTACACTCACACTGTCAGTGTTGCACTCAATTCTGCAGGAACAGGCCTTAGGCATCCAAGATGCTGTTTCTGAAGCAGGGACACACAGTCACACAACTTTTTTTTTTTTGTTAAGGAGTTTGAACAACTAGAATTCTGTTTATTCTGAAAAACTGGCACAGAGATGGATTTTGTTTGTTTTAACTGTTTGTAGAGCCTCTTACTGATGTTTTTGACATCCTTTAGATACCCACTAGCCAAGTAGGATACCTAAGTACTTCTTGAAGTACTTAGTGATCACAGTGAGGTACTGTGTACTGAGAGAAACGCACGTTCACTTTTTTTTTTTTTAAGGTTGGTTAAACATGTAAGCCAGCTGGAAGTGAAGGCATATTTGAAAGCCTGAAGTACAGACGCTTAAGTTGTGAGGTGTTTTTCCAGTTTGCTTTCTGGTCCAAGGCAGCTCTAGAACAGCTTCCTGTGAAACTTAGCTGTGATTTTATGCTAACCGAAGAAAAGCTCGTGAGTAAAATACCAGATGAATCCATGCCATGCAAAATGGGACTTTGACAGTACACATGTAGAAGGAGATTAAAGTGGAAGAACAAGGAATGGAAGGAAGAAGAGAAAGGCGGTCTTTGCTTTATTTCTCTGTTTTCTTTTTCCAAGTGGTATTGAGGCTTTCAGAAATGGGTTCCTCATCACCCGGCTGCTATGTTCCCTATGTACTAAAGCGTGACGTGTGAGCAGGTTGCTGTCTCCATAGACATCCAGCACTGGTGCCACCAAAACAGATGACTGCTTCCTCTGTCACTCAACGGAGTGTTTACAGGCTGTAGCCCGTGTGGGAGAAGAGTGTTGTCACTGCTGTGTTAAGGGATTTCTTCAGGCCCAAGCTATGTTTGAAGCATCACTGCATGAATGAATCAGTTGGCTGTTTGATGCAGCGATCCTGCTAAGGAAGTCTGTGCTGCCTCATTGCTTTGTGGAGTCAGCCATGCTGAGCCCTGCCTTGATAAGTGACAGATGCTACTGGGCTAGTATTGTGTGTTGCTGCTTACAGTGTTGAATTTCCTGCAGAACTGGCCTGTGAGAGGATCAGGATCATCTTTCCCAACTTATCTGTCGGGCACGGACTCCTCTGAGGCATAGCCGACAAAATTGCAAAGTAGTTCTTCCCAGTAGCTGCACATGCAAAAAAAAAAAAAAAAAAAACCACTTTGTAATTATATGAGGAGAGCCTGTGTGTTTGTGACTCCAAGGCAGACCTGCATCAGGCTTGTTGGGGGCGCTGCCTAATTAGGGTCAAGAGAGAGACGCTAAAGGCTGGGAGCTGCACTCTAAGTGACAGAGCTGCACTCTAAAGTGACAGAGCACTTACCCTGTATCTGATTCTGGCTGCTGGAAGCCAAACTGGTATGTTTTCTTGCAGTGGATCTCTGAAGACTAGCTCTTCTTAAGCCACTCAACCCTTTCCTTGCTTCGCTGGTGTCTGCTCTCAACATCCACTTGTACTTTGTTGCTAACGCTTGGCTGTGACTCAAATACCTTCCCTGAATTTGACTTCCGTTTCTACTGAGGTGTTCTGTGTGGCCTGCAGTTTTCCTCATCCCAGCAAGGTCCATTTAAAATGACTGGATACAAGCCTATGGAGAAATGGCTGTTCTTGAAAAATGCTACTTTTAATCTTGGATGGAGATGGACCAGTGGTGGATGGAGCACACAGTGTCCCTGTGAGCAATGAAAATCATCCTATTGACTGCTACGTTGTGCACTGGTGCCCATGATCTCACGTGGCTGCATGAGTAATCTGAGCTGTAGGAGCAAGTCAGGCTGCAGGACCATCTAGTCAGATAGCCAGTAAGTGACTGCAGACGATGCCAGAGGCTTCTGAATAAGGTCTAAGAGAGCTGGTGGCAGGCAGGCAGGCAGGAGACAGTATTCTCTCGGAGGAGGTTTTCTCTAATTCTCAGTAACCAAAAATATGATTTGCATAGTAACACCGAAGGGTTTCTGATCCTTTCCACTTACTATTGCAACACAGCTGCTGCTTGTGTGTATTAAAAGAAGAACCTGATTTGCGTTAATGTCGCTAGCGCAAGATAACTAGTGTATGGTCTGAGAATAGGTACTGGGTTCTGTCCAAAGAACTGACTGTGAAACTACTTACTTTCCAGTGGCTCTTCATTTTGTAAAAAAGCCATTTGACTGAGCAACATTTCATACGTTCCTATAATTCTTTACACCTGTTCTGTGTTTCATTTCCAGTGCATGAGATACACTGCAGTTGGAAAAAATCCCACAAGGATAGGGAAGCCTAAGTTTGCAAAACAATTAATTTAGTAATTAAGTTTATGATTGCTCTAGTTAGCCCTGAAACTCACAGTCTTTAATGCGTTTCTCTTTAGAGCTTTCCTGTGAAGCAAGGCAGTGCTTTGGGGATGATGTGCTGAGGAGAGCTAAGACAGAGGATTAAGGTCCCATGAATGTGAGGCATCAGGGTATCGACTCCAGGTTTGTAAAGCCCTTTTGTAGTGCTGTAGCCAATAGACCATCCACGTTCACCTTCCAGGCCTGTTAAGAAATGGTTAGCTAATAGAGACACTGGCAGTGTTTGGAGAAAAGGAAAGAAAGGAATGTGCCATTGTTGGTAGGATGAAAGTTGGAAGGCAAAAAACAAGAGTTTCTTTTTGAACATTAACCTCAACTCTATATTTGGTATGGCATGAAGACAGGCTTTATTTATTTATTTTTGAGTACTCTTGGAGCTGTTCAGGGAACTACCTTGACAAAACGTAAGTACTTGAAAAATGACAATTTGTGTGGTGCAGATAAGTAATCTGAAGGTTATATTCAGTTGACCCTAGCCCATCGTGGGTAGAGTCTTGAATTGTCCTATTCATTTCAGTGGCTCCTGACATGGAAAGGGATTATTTTGTGGCAGTAGAAAAGCTGAATCCAGCCCTTAGAAAGATAAGCATGAAAAATGAGGAGTGGGGGAAGAATGGAATGGCTGTTGCTTACGCATGAAGGTGTCTGGTACCTCAAAGACATGAGTGAGTAACTGGACCTGCTTTCAGAGATACTGAAAGTGCAGTCTGCACAGCTCAGTGCTCTGCGACTGCTCTGCATTTCAGAGCTCTGAAGGTATCTGCAGTGACATGTATAAGACACAAGATGTCATTAGCCTTGGTCTAAAGAGGGAAACACCTGCAGAGGTCCCTATTGTACTGTAAGTCTGGGAGATTATTAGGGCCTTCCTCTTTATGACACGGGTAAAAAAAAAATTGCAGCTGCTTATTAAAGCTCACTGTAAGTAATCATTAAATAATCATGGCAGCAGTGAAGTCTTGTACTGTGACTAGACTTTGAGCTGCTCCTACTCTCACTGAATTGAAGGAGAGCAAGAGCAGGCTCTGTAAAAAGCAAGCAGAAGGAGCTGTCGTAGCACAGTTGACACCACTGGCTTGTGCAGAAGAAGAAAACGTTTACTGTAGTATTGCAGTCACACAGCTGGTCAAAATCATTTGTTAGATTGGTTGAATAAGACTCAAAGATGATTTAGGGTAAAAACTTTCAAATGTTCATCCTCTACACAGAAAAGTCAGAGGTATCTAAATCTTTTTGCTTCCAAGTCCAGCACTGAGTCGCATAAAAATAAATTTTAATGAAGACTTTGTTTTGAATTTACCTAGTGAAAGTATGCAAACACATTTCCTGCTAATGATTCTCTGTCTACATTTTTACCAATATTTTGGCCTTTCCTTTAAAATGTAAAAATATAGTTTGCTGTACTTTGAAGGCTTGGTATTCAAACATCAAGCTGCATGTCCAGATTATGACTGACTGAAATGTGGTATGATGGTGTTGCCAGTAGCTGATTGCACGAGTAGAGGATTATTTCCAAAATACAGGTGCATGTGTGCAAAGTTGGTGTTCGCTTTTCCCTAACAA